GGGAGGATCCGCCCGTCGAAATCCCCGATGGCTTCGGCGTTCTTCTTCGTGAAGAAAAAAGATGGCAGCCTGAGACCAGTCCAGGATTATCGGAAGCTCAACGAAATGACGATTAAAAATCGTTATCCACTTCCGTTAATCTCGGAGCTCGTAAATAAGCTCCGTGGCGCCAAGTACTTCACGAAGTTGGATATCCGATGGGGGTACAACAACGTGCGGATCAGGGAGGGAGATGAGTGGAAAGCGGCATTCAGGACGAACCGAGGGCTGTTTGAGCCACTCGTGATGTTTTTCGGCCTGACGAATTCCCCGGCGACGTTCCAGACAATGATGAACGACATCCTTCGAGAGCTCATAAACGAGGGAAAGGTCATAGTCTACCTGGACGACATCCTTATCTTCACCGACAACTTGGAGGAGCACAGAGCACTGACGAAGCGGGTACTTAAAATCCTGCAAGACAACAAGCTCTTTCTCAAACCAGAGAAGTGCGACTTTGAGAAGACGGAGATCGAGTATCTAGGAGTCATCATTTCCTACAACTCGATGAAGATGGACCCGGTGAAGATCAAGGGCGTGATGGAGTGGCCGGAACCAAAGAACCTTAAGCAGACACAGGCGTTCTTAGGTTTCACGAACTTCTACCGCCGCTTCATCCGAGGATACGCGGAGATAGCAAAGCCGATGACGAGGTTGACTGGGAAGGAAGGCTGGAGCTGGGGAGAGGAGCAGAAGAGAGCGTTCCAAAGGCTCAAGGATCGCATTGCCGAAGACGCCGTACTGGCACTTCCCACGGATCACGGGAAGTTCCGAGTCGAGGCTGACGCGTCGGATGGAGCTATAGGAGCGGAGCTCGCACAGGAGCAGGAGGGCGAGTGGCGCCCTGTTGCTTTCATGTCTCATGGACTCAATGAGACTGAGCGGAACTACGAGATCTACGACAAAGAGATGCTCGCAATCATGACCGCGCTGGACGAGTGGCGGGAGTTGTTGATGGGCGCAAGCCAAACATTCGAGATCTTTACTGATCATCAAAATCTCGAATATTTCAAGAAGCCCCAGAAGGTTAATCGCAGACAGGCCCGGTGGATTCAGGAACTGGCGGAGTTCGACTTCACGCTACACCACCGGCCCGGAGCGTTGAACAAGAAGGCAGATCTCTTATCTCGGAGATCGGATCACGACCAAGGAAAAGACGACAACAACAATGTCGTTCTGCTGAAGCCAGAGTATTTCCGAGCACAGGACATAGTGTTGGAAGGGCCAGAGGCAGGGATCTTGGAAGAGATAATTAAGGAGAAGAAGATCGATAAGAGCGTTAAGCTGGCGCTCGAGAAAAAGTTACCAGCCTGGGAAAAGAAGGACAATATTATCTATCACAACGGACTTATATATGTACCCCGGAATCAGGAGTTGCGCGATAAGATTATCGGACTCCATCACGACCTGCCCATGCTCGGCCATCCCGGAGAGAACCGCACGCAGGAAATGGTGGAACGTAATTATTGGTGGCCGAGACTGGGAAACCAGGTCGCCGAATATATAAAGGCCTGCGAGGCTTGCCAAAGGACTCGAGTGCGCCGGTACAAGCAGGGAAAGCTTAACCCGCACAAGATCGCTGAGGGGCCTTGGCAGATTATATCTATGGACCTCATCGGGCCGCTGCCGATCAGCAATGGCTTTAACGCCATCCAAGTCTGGGTCGACACTTACACGAAGATGCTCCATTGCGAGGCAACGAACATGGAGCTGACGAGTGAAGGTGTCGCCCGACTTACCCGGGATCGTGTGATTAGATATCACGGCATTCCCTGTAAAATTATATCGGATCGGGACACCCGATATTTATCCGGGTTCATGCGAGAGCTTAACCGGCTTCTCGGCATAGAAATGAACCCGAGCACGGCATACCATCCGGCGACAGACGGACAAACAGAACGGATGAATCAGGAGATTGAAAAATATCTCAGGATCTTCGTCAACCACCGACAGTCAGATTGGGCGGAGTGGCTTGCATTGGCCGAGTTCACTCATAACGATAAGACCAGCTCGTCGACGAGCATGTCACCTTTCTATACGAACACGGGATACCACCCCTGGAAGGGGATAGAAAACTCAGTCGAGTCGCGCAATGAGGCCGCGAACGACTTCGCACAGAAAATGAAGAGGATCCGCGATGAAGCATCGGTCGCTCTTGAGAAAACCCAGAAAAAGATGAAGAAGTATTATGACGCGCATAGGCGCGAGGCGCCTGTATTTAAAGTCGGCGACATGGTTTGGGTGGAAGGAGAGAACATAGAGACAGACAGACCGACCAAGAAGATAGATGATCTCAGGCTGGGCCCTTACGAGATCCTGGAGAAGGCCGGGGCTTCGGCGTGGAAGCTGAGATTGCCGGAGACGGACCAGACATATCCGGTCTTCAACGAGGCACTTCTCACGCCTTATGTGGAGCCGCCCGAGGGGCGAAAAGAGAAGCGGCCGGGACCGCAGATTGTGCAGGGAGAGAAAGAGTACAAAGTGGAGGAGATCCTCAACCACAGGAAACGTGGGCGAGGATACCAGTATTTAATCAAGTGGAAGGGATACCCGATCGGAGAACGGAATTGGGAGCCACGACGGAACTTGGTGAACGCACAGGAGCTCTTGGACAGATATAATGCCGAGCACAACCTAAACGCCAACCATGTCACGCTTGCCAAGATTGTCGATGGGATGTCCAAAGATGAAGAAGTATTATGACGCGCATAGGCGCGAGGCGCCTGTATTTAAAGTCGGCGACATGGTTTGGGTGGAAGGAGAGAACATAGAGACAGACAGACCGACCAAGAAGATAGATGATCTCAGGCTGGGCCCTTACGAGATCCTGGAGAAGGCCGGGGCTTCGGCGTGGAAGCTGAGATTGCCGGAGACGGATCAGACATATCCGGTCTTCAACGAAGCACTTCTCACGCCTTACGTGGAGCCGCCCGAGGGACGGAAAGAGAAGCGGCCGGGACCGCAGATCATGCAGGGACAGAAGGAGTACGAGGTGGAGGAGATCCTCAACCACAGGAAACGTGGGCGAGGATACCAGTATTTAATCAAGTGGAAGGGATACCCTATCGGGGAACGGAACTGGGAGCCAACCCGGAACCTTAAGAATGCACCGGACATTCTCAACAAGTACAATGCAGAGCATGACTTGCGCCGATGGGCGGAGGACCTGATTGCCGGAAGGTCGAAGGAGAGCAATGACGCGCTGGCGGCAGAGCTCAGGAAATTAGGCTTGATGCCACCAAAGGAAGCGCTAGGCGCTAAGTCCCCAGGAGATGCCCAGGAACAGCCGCAGACCGAGGGGATTCCGGCCTTGCCGCTGGGGCATTGGGATTATCTTATCAAGCGGTATAAGCCGAAGCAGGAGTCGGCTGATTATCCAACTCGCTATCTATACGACCCAATCACAAGACGAAGGATGATCGTGGAGAAATTCCCTAACGAAGGATGCTCGCGCGGTACCTCAGTCGAGGTGTGATGGATTCTCACGGTCGTCGGGACGCCGACCCTAAGAGGGGGGTAATGTCACGATTAAGCAGGCTATCTAATCGGACAACGCCTTATCTCGTTATCTAAGCGCCAGGATAAGCGCTGGTCTATTTAAACATCGAGGCTATGCTTGAGTCATCAGTGATCGGACAGCCAGGGATCGGGTTCCCACAGGAACATGCCGATGAAGCACGACGGATTGGTGATCGGACAGCTGACAGGTGTCATGCTGCGGACATGTGGAGTATGCATGGGCATTACTCAGAACACATGGCTTCAGGACGTTTCTTACTCAGAACACATGGTTCTAGCATGTTTATTACTCAGAACACATGGTTATGGTGCTTGTAGCACATGGACGCTCTATTGTATATATTATTAGCACTAGTTACATAGCCACAGTCAAACAGTATAAGTAAGTGTAGCTAGTCGCATGTATTCCTTAGTCTTTTATTCCATCATTCTTCGAGCCTCACTCTTACCTGCTACATCTGAGAACGCAACGTGCGACCTCTCAGACTAGTACTTGAGCCTTGAGCGTGACAAACGCAAACATTCAAAGGCGGAAAGACCGAGACCACCCTCTTCCCCGTGAGCCTTCGGTGTCAAGTCTGTGCAACGCAAACATTCAAATGTGTCAAGACCACTTCAAGTGACCAATCCCACGTCCAGCCGGCACAACGCCAGCATTCAAACGCAAGAAGACTAGCCTCAAATGACCACTTCTTACCTCCCCGCGCACATGTCAAATTGGGCCGTCAAGCCTCAACAATTCTGTATACCCGCAACACACCATTCATTCATCACAAATATTCAAACGGGAGAAGACTAACCTCAAGTGACCACTCTTACCTCCTTGCACGTTCCGGGCATCAAGCCTCAACAATTCCTTATACGTGCCTCACTCAGATGCTTGTCAGTTACTATTAGTCTTGCTTTCCAGTTCATGTATGAGGTTACTTGTGTTATTGATACCGTTTGCAATATTATCATTTGCCTTGCATTCTATTAATTTCCGATTGATTCGTAGTAAACGGGAGTCCGCCACAACACTAATGAGTGGTTGGAAGGGCGGGTAAGGGCTTACAACCGCTCGCAATGTTCACAATTATGGTAAATGTCGTGAGCATGACACGTGGAGACTTTCGATTATCTGCCGGTCCACAAGAATGGCGAGGATTGCGGGAATTATGGGACTCGCAACCGCATATATTCGCTGGTAACTTTTTTCCGGATTCAGTGATGTGTCTGTCTCGGTAACCCAGACGTTCGGTGTGATCCATGATGATCAATGATGTGTGCACCAGATCAAAAAACACAACGCAGAGATCACACCTGAACTGTGATCTCTTTGATCAGCAGATCACTGTGAGCCGGCTCCACGTGCCAACTCTGGAAACTTGTAATATTCCCCACGGCGGCGGAAACAACTGGCGGAAGCAGATATCCCCTTACTACAACAAATTAAAAAGAGACGGCGCCGCCGGGAGTTGATCCCGGGACATCCGCAAAACAATCTGTTGTGCCTCAAGTAAACCACAGTGCAACACCCTATGCTACGGTGCCAATATGTGGATAGGCACAGAGGTTGTCTCGAAGGACATATTCCGTCAACGATAGAAGCATGGAAACACTGTTAGGTCGCCAATTCAGCCCTTCCACCGTTTGAAGAACATGTTCCGTCGACTTCCGCCGCTTCGAAAACACATTCCGTCAACGATAAAAGCATGGAAACACTGTTAGGTCACCAGATCAGCCCTTCCGCCACTTCGAAAAACACATTCTGTCAACGATAAAAGCATGTAAAGTTGATTTCCGCCGCTTCGAAAACCATTCCATCGCTCGAATGTCCTATCCACTGATACTGAACGAGAAACATCCACCAGAATTGCAGGGGAAAACAAGTCGCATCGGAAAGTCAAAAACCAAATCGTTCAAGACAGATGGCCCTGCCAGGACTCGAACCCGGAGTCTCCACAGTATCCTTGGTCTCAGTAGAGGCAGGTGTTCACGGTGTGTTAACCCTTGCGCTACGGAACCGATACAGAGATGGAAATGGAGGATTATTCCTCAAATTACAAATCCCCTTTGACTAAAGAAACCCACGCACACATGGATCAACTCCACCACGAGGGAACGTATGGCGGAATCCCATCCAGTAACAACGAATGACCGACAGGGTTTATGGCAGCGGAATCTCGAACCTGGCACTATTGAAGAAGGCAGGACCATCGGAATGCGATTCCGCTAACCGGAAATTGCATGAACAGGAAGGTATAACTGATGGCTGAACCACAATATCCTTAACGGGTTGACAACTGAAGGTTAACATCGAGGAGTCCGATTCCATGGAGGGCTTGTGTCCCACCATGGAAAAGAGGGAATTCCACTGGCGAAAGTATGACTCAAGTACGCTGTGTCAAGCTACCAGCATGAGGGTCCGCTGGCAACCAAAGAGTCGGTTCAACCGGCTCCACCAAGCTGTTTCATGCACAACAGAGTCAGTGGAGGCTCAACATTACTCCTGGGAAGGCAGTGTACTGGACTCCGCTGGGGTATAAATACGAAGTAGAATTTGTAGCAATGATATCTAGTTCTCCCCTTGCAATCTAAGCATTTAAAACCGCTCTAGAACAGAAGGGAACAGTCAATGCAAAAGACCTAAGGTCACCGAGACCAAAGGGAACACCTTTCCTTCCGCCTCACTCCACCGCCGTTTCCTCGCAGTGGAGACACTTATACCCCACCTTTATTCGATATTTGCCCCCGTCGCCGCATAGGCCCAAGCGGAGCAGAACTCCCACCACGAACGACACTGCAGACAACTCCATTGTATTTGTGTGTAGCCGTTAAAACCCCATCGGGACACCTGGTCCTACAGTAGAGCAGGAGAACGATGGCACACCATTCAGGAAGCTTTCAAAGGAGTGGACTCTTTGATGGAAAAAGGGAATTCTACGTAGAGGCAGAAGAAAGGAACGAAGCAGAGAGGGATTGTGCAGAATAATGACAATCACAGCGGACCCGCCCTACATTTGTGTTTGGTGAACACTCCGAAGTCGGGAAATACAATGGCGGAGACTTAAAACAGGACCGACATACCCCAGACTAGTGCCAGCGCTTCCCTCCGCATCGCATCGGGACCGACCTCTCTCGTTCTCAAGTGTAGAACGGAAAAGCAGCATTACTGGAAGGCTTTTCTCTCCCGCAGGGAAGGAATCAGCGACCTTAGGATTCCTCCGTTGCGAGACGGAGTAGTTTCTACACCACCACATTTATAAAACACGAATTCCGCAGCCGTCAAGAGACTTCAGACACACAAATTTCCCCCTAGAGGACGAACTGCTGAGTCTGCCAAGCAACAAACCGACTTGCCAGCAATAGCACCGCAGTCCGAATCACATCGCTTTGTGCCACTACATCGTGGAACATCCATCCCTGCTTACCCCAATCCGTCGGCTATCGGTGGACATATTGCAGACCATAACCCTCCATCCAGATATACACGGGTTTCCCGACTTGAAGTGGAGAGCACCGGCTCCATATATCTCCGTGGACGTTTATACACCGAATGCCATCGTGTCAGTGTCTCATCACTGGAGAAATATTGCAGTGGGTACCGCTGAATTATGGTCCTCATTCTGCATCAACCAATACTGCCTCCAGCGACTACACATCTCTCTCGAACAATCGAAGAATGCACTGCTGTCACTCTCATTGATTCGACGGCCTGTGATAGATACACGGAGGCTTTTTGGTACGATGCCCTGGAAGAAATCCTAAAACATTGCGAGCGATGGGCTCAGGTTGCAATACCTACAATCCCACATTTTCTGGAGCTCCGCAGCCCTGCGAACAACTCCATTCCGCCAACTCGCTCCAATTTACGCAAGATGGTTTTACTTGGAGAAGATGCATATGTGGATAGAGAAACTGCGATGGATGTCTTCAATGACATAAATGCTCAGGGATCTCGTTCTCATCGGCTGCGGTATATGGAACCGAACGACTGTTACGTCGCTTATTCGATGTTTTTTGGAGAGTCTCACCCTACAGCATACCCGAGTTCGCGTTTCAGAGCTGCTCGCTCTTTTCCTCGAAATACTGACCCTCAGCACATTCCCTGACGAATTTGATCCTAATTCAGTTACCGAGCCCTAGCAGTAAGATATAGCCTAAAAGCCCTGGATGTAGCCATAGAACATTAGGCAAAACACCTGGACCTAGCCAGGGCCTGGCTACAGCCAGAAAAGAGCATTCAGTGATGATTTCAGTAATAAGTGACAAAACGAATTGCAGCTGCCTGGATTGAACCCAGACCACCTTAAATAGCATGATTACGAAAGGCACATGAGAAAGAGACCCTTTAACCACTACACTAAATAACTGTTCTAAAGCACTTGGTGGCCCTGGCTAGGGTAAGGTACCCTTACCCTACCCAGGGCTGCTTATACCCAGATCTAGAGCAGGCAAGCTGCTCTAGATCTTCGAAATTGTATGTTTAAAGCTTATTATGTGTGTTTGTTGTGTTTCTAACCCTAACCCTAACCAAACCTAACCACCAAACCCCTTACCCTAACAACAAAATTCAATATACCTAGGAGCTAACCTCTAACCTCTAACCTCTAACCCTAACCTACTAACACTAACCTCTAACCTCTAACCTCTAACACTAACCTACTAACACTAACCAGGCCCCTAAGGTGGGGCCAGAAGGTATGAAACATCTCTATTGTGAATTATCAGAGCTATGATATGGCCCTATGAATTTCATTCTGTTTCATTCCTTCTTAGCTCAGTTGGTTAGAGTGTTACTTAGGCTGTCAATGCTTATGTAACCCTAAGGCTTTTGGTTCAATCCCTGCTTCGGCCACTTTCTTATTTTAAGTAAATTTGGCAGGGAAAAAGCTAGCCAGGGGGCTGGTAAACTCCATGTCTTTAGACAACGGGTTTGCTGGCTGTGTCCAGGTCATTAGGCAAAAACCTACAGCTACAGGTGCAGTTACCAACTTACTGCTCGATGTGCTCACCACCCCGTCCAGATCATGCATGTTTCTGGCATTGGCCACCCTTGTTCTGAGCAGCGTCTATCTATTCAGCACCGAAGAACTGCTCGTGATGCTCGAGAGCCAAATGAGCCCGGATAACTGGAAATCCTCGCTCGCCACCATCGATAGCGTGCTCCCCACTCCCGAGATTGCGGCACCCAGGCTCCAACGTTTCGCGGGGCTGCGGAGCATGAAGTATTTAAAACTCGTTTGTCTTGACGAAGCGAGGCTCCCCATCCAAGTGATTGAGATAAAAGCCAGCAATAAACACATCCTGCACGGAATGCGGCAGGTTTAATCATTCTACCCGAGCAGTTCGAAGACTGAGTACTGAGCTATGGATGTGCATATCTGTTATGTACTACTGTATTGTACTTTTGGTAGCCTTGAGTATATGATGTCGTCGGGGTCAATGCAGTAAATTTCAACTAAACATATCGCCTAGGGAGTACACACCCACTGTGTTCTGACGACGCGCAATAATCGCAGGACCTTCCCCGTCGCACGCACGCAGTGGAAGCAGAAAGCCCAACGCTCACACTTATACCGTCAGGCTAGAATGAGCGATAGTTGGCGAACAGGTAGACTAGACACAAAATCCGCAACTTAGATTTGTTCCCTGGTGGGTACCCTCCTAAAATTAATGGACTTGGGGCATACAATTCTGGAATCTGCCACGCTCAGGTGCATGCAAATGGGGAAGTGTTCCTCTACATGTTCTTTCCCTGTTGCGGGTGCTGCTCAAGCACGCGAATTTCCTGAGTGTTCAGGCTGAAGAAGAAAACTACGTCAAGGAACATTCGCTCTCTAGGGAGAATAACCATTAAATCAGTACCATACCTGCGAAGATTTTTTCTAGCGCGCCTAAGGAATTCGACGCACTCATGTTGCACATGTTTGGAACCTCGGCAGACGCGTCGGATATCATGTGACACGCGTGTTTCTTCTCACCACGCCGCGAGTCACAACGACTCCGAAAGAACAAAGACCATTTGTGTTCTGAACAACTTCAACCAAATTTGAAAGCTTTATAATCCACTATAGCAGTTAATACACTCCTCCCGTCCATTTACTGGTTCTAACCTTGTCAGATTTTAGAATGGAAGGGCCGCCGTCGAGCCATCTAGTATCCAACGCCGAAATGTCCTCCGCTCAATTGACTTGTCTGCTCGAAAGCAACAACGTCCCGCTCGACGCAGAAATCCCGACCATCTGTGAAATCATCTCCGAAAACCAAACCCGTCTGGATGCTCTGAATGCTCAGATCGAGGCCTTGCGGACTGCAATGGAGCAGCTCATAACGGAACGGGACGAAATTGCGGACAGTGTCAAAAGACGCACCACTGTTATATCGCCTCTCCGCCGTGTGCCCTCAGAGCTGATTTGCGAGATTTTCTCCTTGTCACAATTCACAAGACGCATAGGTGGAGAAATTGTCAATTGCCCCCCGTGGTATCTCGGACATGTTTGCAGGTCCTGGAGATACTCGGCACTTTCCACCCCATTTCTTTGGTCCTC